CAGCATTGTTCACAACAGCCAAGACATGGAATCAACCTGAGTGTCCATCAACAAGTGAATGAAGAAAATGTACATCCAGAGAGGAATATTATTCAGTCATAAAAAAGAAGGAAATCTTGTCATTTGTGACAACATGGATGAAGCTGGAGGAAATTACGTTAGGTAAAATAAGCCAATCACAGAAAGACAAATGCCACATAATCTCATTCATATGTGGAATATTAAAAAGTCGGTCTCATAGAAGTAGAGTAAAATGGTGGTTACCACGTGCTGAGGTGGTTTTGGGGGAGGTTGGGGAGATGGCCAAAAGATGAAAAGTTTCAGCCAGTCAGGAGGAATAAATTCAAAAGAGGTATTTTATACTATGGTGACTATAGTTAACATACTGTATTCTTGAAAATTGCTGAGTGGATATAAAGTGTTCTTACCACAAAGATGATGACTATGTGAGATAGTATGTTACGTGTGGTGATATGTTACCATATGAGGTACTGTGTGTGTTAATATGTTACTATGAGAGGTAATGTATGTGGTGAGATGTTACCACATGAGGTAGTATGTGTGTTAATATGTACTATGAGAGGTAATGTGTGTGGTGATATGTTACTATGTGAGGTAATATGTCTGGTGATATGTTACTATGTGACGTAATATGTATAGTAATATGTTACTATGTGACTTAGTACATTGATTAGCTAGATTTAGTCATTCCACAGTGAATAGATACTTCAAAACATCATGTCGTACAGGATAAATCTATACAATTTTATCTATTGATTTAAATTTTATTTATTTATTTGTTTATTTATTGAGATAGAGTCTCGATCTGTCACCCAGGCTGGAGTGCAGTGGCATAGCCTCAGTTCACTGCAACCTCTGCCTCCTAGGTTCAATGCCTCAGCCTCCCGAGTAGCTGGGACTACAGGCATGCACCACCACACCCAGCTAATTTTGCATTTTTAGTAGAGATGGGGTTTCACCATGTTGGCCAGGCTGGTCTGAAACTCCTGACCTCAGGGGATCCTCACACCTTGGCCTCCCAAAATGCTGGGATTACAGGCGTGAGCCACCATGCCCAGCCTACTTTTTTTTTTTAAATGCTATTTTGAAGAAAATATGTGTGATGACATGTTACTATATGATGTATATGGTGATATGTTACTATGTGAGGTAATATGTATAGTAATATGTTACTATGTGAGGTATTGTGTGTGGTGATATGTGACTATGTGAGCAATATGTGTGGTAATATGTTACTATGTGAGGTAGTATACTAATTAGCCAGATTTAGTCATTCCACAGTGAATATATACTTCAAAACATCATGTTGTATAGGGTAAATCTCTACAAGTTTATCTGTCTATTTAGTTTTGTTTTTAAAAAAGAGAATATTACACTGTTTTGAAGAAAATAGGCTCATTTCTAAAACTGACTAATCAAAAACTAATAGCACTGCAAAGGGCTCTTGGTACAAAAGCTATCAGTCATTTCTTTGATTAATAGTATACATATTTTTATTCAATAAAACCTTCTGAAATGCTACTCAGAGGCCAAATAAAGCTGCAGCCTAATTTCCTAAGACTTCAATCTTTGCTTTGTTCTTGAATTTTCTCTTGCCTACTTCCAGTCCCAGAGAATGGGGTGCAGGGAGGAAGTTGGAGGAGGGTAGAAGAGGGGACAGAGGACGGATGCAAGGTCAAGGGTGTGGGGAAGAGGAGGACCGATAGTGCAGGGCAGCTAATTTCTGAAAGCTATAAAGTGGGTGGCTTTGAAGGCTTGAAGGGCTCTGCCCAGGTGTGCAATGGAGAAAGGGGTTTGCCAGCTCTTTGCCGCACACCAGGGATCTAGGGTTCTGAGAAGAGTTCCTTATTCAAGGTGGGCCTGGACAAGGAGAAAACGAAAACATAGGTAGCAGCCAACAGCATGCAGCACTACGGCATGCCAGCAGCCATGTTGGGCGTTTTACAGATCTTTTTCAGGCTATAACAACCCTGCACATGAGGTGCTGTTCTCAGGCCCATTTTTAGGGATGAGAAAACTGAGGCGATTAAGAGATTTAAGAACTTTTGCAGGCCAGGCGTGGTGGCTCATGCTTGTCATCCTAGCACTTTGGGAGGCCAAGGCGGGCAGCTCACCTCAGGTCGGGAGTTCAAGATCAGCCTGGTCAACCAACATGGTGAAACTCCGTCTCTACCAAAAATACAAAAATTAGCCAGGCGTGGTGGTGCACACCAGTAATCCCACCTAATTGGGAGGCTGAGGCGGAAGAATTGCTTGAACCCAGGAGGCAGAGGTTGTAGTGAGCTGAGATGGCGCCACTGCACTCCAGCCTGGGTGACAGAGCAAGACTCCTTCTCAAAAAAAAAAAAAAGAAAGAAAAAGAAACTTGTTCAAGGTTCCAGAGCTAGTGGGAGAGTGCACATTTGAGAAGGGTTAACCCACTTCTTGCCCTGCCCTCCCCATCCATTGGGGGGAAATCTCCTACCAGTCCCCTGCTTGTGTGAGGGGCAGAGCGCCAGAGGGAATTTCTCATCCCCACAGCCAGATAGTGTTTACAATCAGATTGAATTAAATTTAAATAGTTTTTTAAAAGTGACCTTAATAATAGACGGGCAAAAGTGGCTCTGGGTGAAACAAAAGAAACTAGAGACCCTCTTGGTTGAGTTTGTAGTATTGTCTAGATTTCTTATATTATTGTTTGTCTGATCATTCTATTTTATTTATTTATTTATTTATTCATTATCGAGATGCAGTCTTGCTCTGTTGCCCAGGCTGGAGTGCAGTGGCACGATCTCGGCTTAATGCAACCTCCACCTCCCAGGTTCAAGCAATTCTCCCTGCCTCAGTCTCCCCAGTAGCTGGGATTACAGGCGCCCACCACCACGGCTGGCTAATTTTTTGTATTTTTAGTAGAGACGGGGTTTCGCCATATTGGCCAGACTGGTCTCGAACTCCTGACCTCAGGTGATCCACCCACCTCAGCCTCCCAAAGTGCTGGGATTACAGGCATGAGCCACCGCACACGGCCATATCTGATAATTTTTAAATATATGTAAGTGCTTCTCCTGTGCTTACTGGCAGAGCTGGGAACAGACTCTGATCCCCTCTTTTCCATTTAAGTATCTCCCCTTGGAACCTGGATTTCTATCATGTCCTGAGTTCACGGCATTTCTGCCTGGCTCAGATCGAACGCAATCCGCACAAGTCTACTTCTACATCCACAAAACTCCGGCTGATTCCTTGGCATTTAAAAAAAAAAAAAATACTTTTCATTATTCTGCTTAAAAAGCCTATTAACATGGCTTATTTTCTTTTTGTACGTGGATATCCTTAAAATGACTGCTTCACCAGCTTTTCCTTGAAAGTTCCCCACAGCAAGGGAAAGTGATTGCGCTCATGGGTGCGGGGGTGATAGAATTTTGATATTTGTTCTTGCCCAAATCTCATGTTGAATTGGAGTCCCCATTGTTGGAGCTGGGGCCTGGTGGGAGGTGACTGGATCATGGGGGCAGATTTCCCATGCATGGTTTAGCACCATCATCTTGGCACTGTCCTCATGATAGTGAGTGAGTTCTCATGAGATCCGTGGCCATTTAAAAGTGTGTGGCATTTCCCCGCTCTCTCTCTTGCTCCTGCTCCCCCTCTGCCCTCTGCCATGATGGTAAACTCCTTGAGGCCTTTCCAGAAACTGAGCAGATGCCTGTGTCATGCTTCCTGTACAGCCTGCAGAAACATGAGCCAATGAAACCTCTTTTCTTTATAAATTACCCAGTTTCAGGTTTTTTTTTTTTTTTTTTTTTTCTGAGATGGAGTCTCGCTGTTACCCAGGCTGGAGTGCAGTGGCACAATCTCTTCTCACTACAACCTCCGCCTCCTGGGTTCAAGTGTTTCTCCTGCCTCAGCCTCCTGAGTAGCTGAGATTACAGGCGTGTTCACCACGTCCAGCTAATTCTTTTGTATCTTTAGTAGAGATGGGGCTTCACCATGTTGGTCGGGCTGATCTCAAACTCATGATCCGCCCACCTCAGCCTCTCAAAGTGCTGGGATTACAGGCATGAGCCACTGCGCCCGGCCTCAGGTATTTCTTTATAGCAATGCAAGAAAGGACCAATACAAGGGGTAAGCCAGAAACTCCATTCCCAGCCCAATATTTCCTTAAAGTGACATCATTTATCTCAAAACTTCAGCTCATGTCTGCCACTTGACACTAACGATGATAGCCAAAAATTACTGAATTCTTGCTTGCCAAGTACCAGGGTTGTATAGGTGCTTTACATTTGTTACCCTGTGAAATGTTCACAGCAGCTGTATGAAGCAGTAACTAATACTCTGTCCTCATTTTACAAGTGAAAAGACTGAAGTACAGAGAGGGTAAGTAACTAGGCCAAAGTCACAGCTGGCAAGGAGAGAGCCTGGATTCAACATGGATAGCTAGCTTTAGAGCCGAGGCTGTTAACTTCTGTGCTCTAGTATTTTCACATTATACTGGGGGTGGGATAGTTTAAAACAGTGGCCCTTGGTGGGGGCAATTTGGCACCGCCAATCCTGCCAGAACAATAGGCAATTCTGAAGATATTTGTGGTGTGTATGCTACTGGCATACCGGACAAAGAGACAAAGGTGTTTATGAGCTTGTGTTTCTGTGTGCTACTGGCATCTGGTGGGTAGAGGCCAAAGGATGATGCTAAACACACCACATTATACAGGACAGTCTCCACACCAAAGAATTATTCAGCCCCAAAGGCCAATAGCACCAAGGTTAGGTAACCCTAGTCTGAAAGCATTTTAAACTGCTTGCTAGCTAAATTCCTTCATTTTCTTTGTTAAACCTTCTCCAAGAAACACCATGTTATGCCGTGACTTGTGGTTGTATGCCTCTGGCATCACAATTCTGAAAGCCCTTTTGAGAATTTTGGCATTGAAATGTGTGCAAGTGACAAAATCTCGTGAGGTTTTCTGATGTCCTGAGGTTTAGGGGCAGGAATTTTTTTGTCCACCTACCTTCTCTGACCGGACGGTGAACAACAAATGGAGTTTTCCTTCTTTAACCACCAATGGCAAAAGGATGGAATATTTGTTATATGGCAAGTGAGAATATTTGCCTCCAATATCATACTTTCTTAAGCGGGCCTTAGCATCATCTAGCAAACTGTTTCTAAAACAAAAACAAACCAGACAGACATTTTAGTAAGCAGAGTTACGGTAAAAAGCTTATAGTCCTGCCTCTGTTTCTGCTTTGTCGTGTATTTAGGAGTTTGCCATTTCTGACTCTCTGTGTATTTTTCAATAACACGACAGAAATGATAGTATCTAAATTGCATGGTGTTCACAAGATGAAAGTGACAAAAAAACCTCCTAAGCACACAGTTTAGTACACAGGTTCTCTTTGAAACATAAAGTATGGTAAAATGTTTTTTCAATAATGCAATAGTTGAATTTTGAAATCCACAATTATATTCAGAGAAGACAGGTTTGATGAAAACGTCATTGTTAAGGTTAGAAGACCACCTTCTGTTAAGCTGGCCCTTATGTTCTCCAACTCCTATGTCTTCAACTGCCTTATAACAGTGGTTCCCAAACTTTAGCAGCAACAGAATCACCTGGAGGGCTGGCTGTCACATAGACTGCTAGGTTCGGTCCCAGACTGTGACTCAGTAACTCTCATGTAGGGCCTGAGAATTAGCATTTGTATCAAACTCCCACATGACAGTGTTACTGATGCTGTGGACAGGGGAACACATTTTGAGAACAATTTCCCAATAATATGCAAGTATTTGGATTTATAACCACAAATGGTGCCTTCCTATGTGGACTTGTTTTGGTCCTTTTGACAGGTGTGTTTTGCTGCTAGTTTGTATAGTGGGTTGAACAGTATCTCCTCACCCCTGAAATTCATGTCTACCCCAAACTTCAGAGTATGACTTTATTCAGATATAGGATCTTTTTAGATGTAATTAAAGTGAGCTCTAAATCCAATGACTGTTGTCCTTATAAGACCAGAAACAAGCCGAGTACGTTAGCTCACGCCTGTAATCCCAAAACTGGGAGGTTGAGGTGAGAGGACTGTTTGGGCCCAGGAGTTTGAAACAAGCCTGGTCAACACAGCAAGACCCTGTCTCTACAAAAGAAAAAAAAAAAGCATAAATTAGCTTGGGCATAGGGCATGCAACTCTATTCCCAGCTACTTGGGAGGCGGAGGTGGGAGGATCACTTGAGTCCCAGAGTTCAAGGCTGCAGTGAGCCATGATTGCACTACTGCACTCCAGCCTGGGTGACAGAGTGAGACCCGACTCAATAAAAAATAAAATAAAATAAAATTAAAGAAGAAGAAAAAACACGGAGACATCCACACAGGGAAGAAGACCATGTGAAGATGGCGGCAGAGGTTGAAGTGATGCTGCTGTGAGCCAAGGAATGCCAGAAACCACCAGAAAGTGGAAGAGGCAAGGAAAGGTTGCCCCCAGAGCCTTCTAAGGGAGTTTGGCCCTGCTGACACCTTGATTTCGGACTTCCAGCCATGAGAGACCATTTCTATTGTTTTAAACTGCCCAGTGTGTGGTACTCTGTTATGGCAGCCCTAGAAAAGGAACAGGTGATTTTACTTTTTCTGTGGGATGGTAGTTTTGCATAGTGGGCAGAATCAGATGTTTAAGATACCCAGAATTGGCTTCAAATGTGTATAGGAGGCCTGGTACAGTGGTTCATGCCTGTAATCCCAGCACTTTGGGAGGCTGAGGCAGGTGGATCACTTGAAGGCATGAGTTCAAGACCAGCCTGGCCAACATGGTAAAACCCCACCTCTACTAAAACTACAAAAATTAGCTGGGCATCGTGGCACATGCCTGTAATCCCAACTACTCAGGAGGTTGAGGCAGGAGAATCGCTTGAATTCAGGAGGCAGAGGCTGCAGTGAGCAGAGATTGCCTACTGCACTGTAAGCCTGGGTGGCAGAGTGAGACTCTGTCTCAAAAAAAAAAAAAAAAAAAAAGTGTACAGGATTGACTTCTCTGAGTTTCATCTTCATTTGTGTCAGGCTTGAGGATATTTATGCAGATTAAATGATGCAGTTCATATACTGTGGCTGGCACACAGCTGGTGCTCAGTGAATGGTAACCACTGTCATAAATCTCCCCATTATTAGATAAGCAGTTGTTTGCAGGAGGTATTTGCTATTTTTTGCCTCTTTCTAGATGGCAGGGTGCTCACTAGATGTGGGTGGGTAACAGCAGTGGATTTCAACGACCAAATGGCCTGGAAACAATCACTGAATGCTGGCACAGGGGATTGCACAGTACATCTGATGCACGCAGGCCCGCCTCCAGAAAAGGAAACTGTGGGATGGTGGCTTTTAACCACCCAGAAACCGCAGAAGTGACCAGAGAAACCAGCTGAAGTAAAAGGCTGCAAAAACGTATCTGTCCACTTTAGGGACTGGCCGCTGGAATAATCACCAAGATATCAACAGTAGTAGCAGCCACCCCGTTCTGAGCATGGTCTCACTTTCCACGTTTCTCATTTTATCCTCACAACAGCCCAGCAAGTGATCACAGGGTCACCTCCAGGCTCAGAGAGCTTACATAACTGACAGACCCAAGGTCACAACTGGAAGTAGCCACTGGGGGACTTGAATCCGGGGCTGCCTGGTGCGGGGCTGTGCCACCCTCGGGGATCCTGGGGTCCAACTCTGGAGACGCGGATTGCAGAAGAGCCAAGCCGGCTGGGAAGGGGAGCAGCGTGTATGTAAATCACAGTGGCTAAAGCCTGCTCTGTTACTGGCCAGAGCAGGTGCAAAGGTTCGGGGACCCTGCGGGTTGCTGGAGGCGAATGCTCCCATCCGGGGCTCGCAGGTGGACTGTCAGGAGCTGCAAAATCGGTCCCGGACTAAAGGCCTCAATGGCTCCGCTGCTATCAAGACCGGGCCTGGCCAAGCTCGGGGCGCCAGGACCCGGAAAGGCTTTACCTGACTGGCTCCTGAGGAAGGCCAGGTGGTGACATTGCCCTGGGGAATATTTGTTTCCGGGCGGACTCTTCGGAGCGGCTCTGCCGGTCGCGCTTGCGCAGAGCAGCTCTGGGCCTGGGCGCGGCCTAAAGCCAGAGAGAGGGGCGGGTCTTAGAACAGGAGGCGGGGCGGGGTCTGGGGCGGAGACAGGGGACGGGGCGGGGCTGGCTCTGGAGTCGGAGGCTGGGATCGGGGCGCGGCCTATGGCCAGAGGCGGGACTAGAGGCGGGGAAGAGGCGAGGGGCGGGGCTTAGGGCCGGGTCTCCCCGGTTGCGCAAAGCAGTTTCTGCCTGGCTCCTTGGGCTTCTATGGAAGCAAGAGGCACAGGAGTTGCGGGATTTACAGCTGGAAGAGTTAAAAAAAAAAAAAAAAAAAAAAAAAAAAAAAGAAAGAAAGAAAAGAAAGAAAAGAAAGAAAGAAAAGAAAAGAAAAGAAAGGAAAAGAAAAGAAAAGAAAAGAAAAGAAAAGAAAGAAAAAAATACCGTGCTGGTGAGGTGATTGGATTTTACACTCTCATCCACTGTTGCTGGAAGGTTAAGGTGATTCATTCAACTTTTTTGAACTGCTGTCAGCACTTGCAGATCCCACAGCTAGCGAAAAGACACGTGGTGCTCACAGTCAAATGGTAGAAACATAAATTAATCACACAAGGCTGGATGCAATGGCGTATGCTTGTAATCCCAACACTTTGGGAGGCCAAGAGGGGAGGATCACTTGAATCCAGGAGTTCCAGACTAGCCTGGGCAACATGGGGAAACCCCATCTCTACAAAATAAAAATAAAAAATTAGCCAGGCGTGGTGGCACGCACCTGTGGTCCCAGCTACTCAAGAGGCTGAGGCGGGAGGATCGCTTGAGCCCAGGAGGTCGAAGCTGCAGTGAGCCGTGATTGCGCCACTGCACTCCAGCCTGACAGAGGTAGACCCTGTCTCAAAAATAGTAAGAAGAAGACAAAAAGTTTTTAATGAAAAAAAAAAAAAAATCACACAGATAAAGCAGCGGCCTTTGGTCCTTCTTGAGCGTGCGAAGGAGAAAGGTGACCAAATTAGGAGGCAGAGAAGGGTTGGTAGAGGAAATAGAAGTGCAGTTCATTTTGAAAGCAGCAGTTCTCAAAGTGTGGTCCTCAGACCAGCAGCATCCAGATCACTTTGGTCCTGTTAAAAATGTGGACTCTGGCCCAGGTGCGGTGACGCACACCTGTAATCCCAGCACTTTGGGAGGCCGAGTCGGGTGGATCACCTGAGATCAGGAGTTTGAGACCAGCCTGGCTGACATGGTGAAACCCCGTCTCTACTAAAAATACAAAAATTTGCCGGTGGCGGGCGCCTGTAATCCCAGCTACTAGAGAGGCTGAGGCAGGACAATTGCTTGAACCTGGGAGGCGGAGGTTACAGTGGGCCGAGATCGTGTCATTGCACTCCAACCTGGGCAAGAAAAGCAAAACTCTGTTTCGGGAAGGAAGGAAGGAAGGAAGGAAATGAAGGAAGGAGGATGGAAGGAAGGAAGGAAGGAGGAAGGAAGGAAGGAAGGAAACGAAGGAAGGAAGGGAAGAAGGGAGGAGGGGAGGAGGAGGGGTTAGGGGGGGAGGGAAGGAATAAAAAATGAACTTTGGGGGCCCACGCCACACCTGCTGAATCAGAAGCCAGGAGTCAGGCCCAGTGATCTGTGCTGTAAGGGGATTCTGATGTTCTGTGCGGGATAGTGGAGATAAATGAGGCAAAGGGTGAGGGAGAGTGTTCAAGGAAGAGGGCAAAGTTTGTGCAAAGACAGCAGAAAGGGGCTGGAGGAGAAAAGTGTGTGTGAGCCTGGTGCGAGCTGAGAATCCAGGGGTCAGTGTAGGGCCGACTTCTCCATTAGAGGCACAGGAGGCACACAGTAATTTTAGGGACCTGTGTAAATGTTTTAATTGTAATTTCTTTTTAAATTAGAAGAAGAAAAGGAATGTAATAAAAGCAATATATAATAATGAATCCAGCTTGGATTACAGTCATCTTTATATGAATGCAGTCATAAAATATTCATTTTTAGATTATTTTATGAAAGAAGGGGAGCACAGAAACAAAGTAGCTAGGGCCCATGAAAGTCACATTGTGGCTGGCCCTGGGTCAGTGGGGCAGTTTGTGATATTAATGAAATATTGCTGTGATATTTACAACATCCAGTGTTTACACACCGTGACATCAATGAAATATCGCTGTGATATTTATAATATCTAGTGTTTACACACCGTGATATTAATAAAATATGGCTGTGATATTTGTAATATAAAATGTTTACACACCGTGATATTAATAAAATATCGCTGTGATATTTATACTATCCAGTGTTTACACACTGTGATATCAATGAAATATCTCTGTGATATTTATAATATCAAGTGTTTATACACCATGACATCAATGAAATATCAATGTGATATTTATAATATCCAGTGTTTACACACTGTGATATTTATAAAATATGGCTGTGATATTTGTAATATACAGTGTTTACATACCGTGATATTAAGCAAACATCTCTGTGATATTTATAATATCCGGTGCTTATACATCGTGATATAAATGAAATACCGCTGTGATATTTATAATATCCAGTGTTTACAAACTATCATACTGATGAAATATCGCTGTGATATTTACAATATCCAATGTTTACACAAAGTGTTTATACACTGTGATGTTAATTAAATATCGCTGTGATTTTTGTAATATCCAGTGTGATATTAATGAAATATCGCTGTGATATTCATAATATCCAGTGTTTCCACACAGTACTTACACACTGTGATATTAATAAAATATCACTATGATCTTCATAATATCCAGTGTACACACAATGCTTACACACTGTAGCATTAATGAAATATCCCTGTGATATTCATAATATCCATTGTTTACACACAGTGCTTACACACTGTGACATTAATGAAATATCGCTGTGATTTTCATAATATCCATTGTTTACACACAGTGCTTACACACTGTGACATTAATGAAATATCGCTGTGATATTTACAATATTCAGAGTTTACGCACTGTGATATCAATGAAATATGACTGTGATACCTGCACTGTGATACTGGCAAAATATTGCTATGATATTTATAGTATCCTGTGTTTACACACTGGTTACACACTGTGATATCGGTGAAATATCACTGTGATAGTTACAGTTTCCAGTGGTTACACATTGTGATGTTGGTAAAACATTGCTGTGGTATTTCCAATATCCAGTGGTTACACACTGTGATATTGGTGAAACATCACTGTGATATTTACAATACCCAGTGGTTAGACACTGTGATATCAGTGAAATATCGCTGTGATATTTATAACAGCCAGTGTTTACACACTGTGATATTAATGAAATATCTCTCTGATATTTATAATATACAGTGATTACACACTATGATGCTAGTGAAATATCACTCTGATATTTATAATATCTGGTGGTTACACACTGTAATACTAGTGAAATATCATTCTGACATTTATAATATCCAGTGTTTACACAAAGTGTTTACACGCTGTGACACTAGTGAAATACCACTCTGATATTTATAGTATACAGTGTTTACACATGGTGATATAGGGAAATTTCAGTCTGATATTTGTAATATCTAGTGTTTACACACTGTGACATTAGTAAAATTTCTCTCTGATGTTACTAATGTCCAGTATTTACAAACTGAGACATTCGTGAAATTTCACCCTGGTATTTATAATATTCAGTGTTTACATACTGTGACATTAGTGAAATATCGCTCTGGTATTTATAATATCCAGAGTTCACACACAGAGTTTACACACTGTGACACTAGTGAAATATCGGTCTGATATATATAATTTCCAGTGTTTACACAAAGCGTTTACACACTGTGATACTAGGAAAATTTTGTTTTGGTATTTATAGTATCCAGGGTTTACACACTGTGATATTAGGGAAATTTAACTCTAATATTTATAGAATCCAGGGTTTACACTGTGATACCAGGGAATTTTTGCTCTCATATTTAGAGTATCCAGGATTTACACATTGTGATACTGGGGAAATTTTGCATTGATATTTATAGTATCCAGGGTGTACACACTGTGATGTTAGGGAAATTTTGCTCTGATATTTATAGTATCCAGGGTTTACAAACTGTGATATTAATGAATATCGCTCTGTTGAGGATACATGTAATATCCAGGGTTTACACACTGTGATATTAATGAAATATTGCTCTCCTGATACTAATTGTAATATCCAGTGTTGACACACTGTGCTATTAACAAAATATCACCCTGATGTTACTTGTAATATCCAGTGTTTACACACTGTGATATTAATGAAATATCGCTGTGATGATATTTACAATATCTAGTGTTTACACACTGTGATATTAATGAAATATTGCTCTGATGATATTAATAATATCCAGGGTTTACACAGTGATATTAATGAAATATCTCTCTGATGATGTTTATAATATCCAGTGAGTGAAATATCACTCTGATATTTATAATATCCATTGTTTACACACTGTGATATTGATGAAATATGGCTCTGATATTTATAATATCCAGTGTTTACACATTGTGATATTCATGAAATATTGCTCTAAGATGTATATTATCCAGTATTCACACACTGTGATAGTAATGGAATATGGCTCTGATATTTATAACATCTAGTGTTTACACACTGAGATAGTAACAAAATATTGCCATGATATTTATAATATCCAGTATTTACACATTGTGATATTAATGAAATATAACTCTGATAATTATAACATCCGGTGCTTATACACTAAAATACTACTGAAGTATCGCTCTGATATTTATAATATCCAGTGCTTATACACTAAAATATTAATGAAATATTGCTCTGATTTTTATAATATCCAGTGTTTAGACACGGTATTTACACACTGGGATATTAATAACATATTGCTTTAATATTTATAATATCCAGTGTTTAGACAGTGTTTACATACTATGCTATTAATGAAGTATCGCTCTCATATTTATAATATTCAGTGTTTACACACTATGATATTAAAGAAATGTCGCTCTGATATTTATAATATCAGCATTTACACACAGTGTTTA